CCGGCGGTGAGAGCGCAAAAACAGACGCCCGCGGGGCCGCAAACGTGAAACGGCAAGGCGACAAAACGCCTTGCGCTACTCCAAAAAATTATTGCGCTCAAACGTGGCGCTGACAGCGGGAGTCTGCCAACAAGGCGGCGTGTGCTCCCTTTTCTCGTCGTTTGGCACTTTTCACGATTGTTTAATTCACTCCCAAAGACGTTTTGAAACGTCTTTTCAGACTTGGTCCAGAATTGACCGCTTCTGAATGAGTTCATGTATTTATTTATTATTGGGGGGGCGGGGAGAGTTTTTTTCCAAATGAAGTGACTTCAATGAGTTTTTCGAGCAGGTTTGTTCCTGCCGTTGTTTTTTTGAACACGCCCAATCGGGGCGTCTGACTCGCGTGCGGCGCGCGCCCGTCCCGCAGGTGGCGCTGCGGGCGTGGTGTCCAGGATCACCGGCTCGGTGGGCAAAGGCCTGGCGGCCATCACCATGGACAAAGAGTACCAGCAGAAGCGCAGAGAGGAGATGAACCGGACCCCCAAAGATTTTGGCGGGAGCTTGGCCAAAGGCGGGAAAGGACTTCTCAAGGTGGGAGGAGGCCGGCCTTTAACCCCGCCCCCCGGGGGTCCATCGTGATTTCTGCCGGCGCGCGCGCTGACTTCCTCGCGTCGGTGTCTGTGCGCGCAGGGCGTCGTCAGCGGGGTCACCGGCATCGTCACCAAACCGGTGGAGGGTGCGTAGACGCTCGAGCCTCAAGGCGATCGTCTGTCACTCTCACCTCCTCCCTTTCGCTTCCGGTGGCGCAGGGGCCAAGAAGGAGGGCGCGGCGGGTTTCTTCAAAGGCATCGGCAAGGGCCTGGTGGGCGCGGTGGCCCGGCCCACGGGCAGCATCGTGGACATGGCCAGCAGCACCTTCCAGGGCATCCAGAGGTACCTTTTTCCGTCCTTCGGCCGCCTCCAAACTCTGTGACGCATTTGTTGTTGTTTTTTTTTTTTTTTCCTTCAATAGAATTTATTTTGGTTTTAAGAGTGGGTTCGGAAGCTGTTTTGCGGGAGAAAGGGCGTCGTTTTAGTTGAATTTGACTTTTTCCACATATGGCGTTAAAAAGGGTCATGAAGTATCATGTCGTCAAGTCGACTTTCTTTTCTTTCCTTCTTCTGTGTGACCGGAGGAAAAAAAAAACCCCAAACCATTTCAAATTAGGGCTGTCACGTGATGCGAAATCGCTGTCGATCACATGATTTTCAGCTGATCGTGTGGAAAAGATCCCTTCACTCATTCACTCCCAAAGACGTTTGTAAACGACTTTTCAGACTCGGTCTAGAATTGGCTGCGACTGAATGAGTTCAACTCTTTTCTGGACATTTATTGCACGCTGTTGTTTTTTTTTTTTTTTTTAAGTCGCGATGCAGTCAGTGGAACACCCACAGACACGTACGTCTCCTCCGCTGCGCACGGCTCTCCTGGTCTGTATTGCGTTTCGGGTTCGCATACATGTCACGGCTCTGGCGCCCTGGATTTGCTCTTTTTCGACCTCACGCCACCCAAAGCTTCGTTCCCAAGAAGAGTGCCACAAAACAAATTCCGAGATGCCACAATACGCATTGAGAGGTTCAATATGTGCGTCATCAAATGCCGTGCAGAGATTATTTTGATGGTATTACAAAGCTCCGTGCCGATTGGCTGAGGCTCTTTCTTGAAAATAAAAAGGGGAGTGGGGTGTTGCTTCCTCTTCCTGATTGGTCACGTGACTGTGTGCCTGTTCCATGCTGCCTCGAAAGGTCAAATCAGGTGAGACGCTCTCCCGGCGCCGGGAGGGGCACACGGATGTGCCCGCCACGCTGATCGTCCTCGTGGACGTTTCGTCGCGTCTCGGCGTTCCTTTGAGTCATCCGCTTTGGTTTTTGTGTGCGTGCGTGCGGCAGGGCGGCGGAATCCACAGAAGACGTGAGTAAGCTTCGTCCGGTTCGACTGATCCGAGAGGATGGAATCATTCGACCCTACGACCTCAGCGAATCGCAAGGCTTTGACCTTTTTCAGGTGAGCGCTCGTTTCTCCCGCCCTCCTTCTGATTGGTCTCTGCTCTCCGTCGTGCATTTCCAAAATACACCAAGATCTGATCCTCAATTTGACGACGCGTAGCCTACTTAAAAGAAGGCCGCAGCTTACGTTTGCTAGCTTCATGCTCAGACCTGATGAGAAATGCCGTAGACCGGCTTGTGAAACTCGCGAGACCTTGCCGTCGCCGAACCTTTTTTTTCAATTTGTTGACCGCAAACGGTAGCGACGCACGCCACGTGACTTTGCCTTCAAGCTCGCTAGCTCAGCGCTAACACACAACCGCAAGCGCCGGCGAGCGGCCGAATCCTTTGCGCGATTCGGAATGTTGTCCTCCTCCTTTCTTCTTCTGCGTCTTCTTGTTCTTTCCTCCGGAGCTGAAGTTAACACGTTTCCTTTTTGTGTGTGTTTGACTGACATGCGGCAGGATGGCGACTAAAAAGAGCGGCTTGGACTTTTTCTTCTCTTTGTTCACGTGTTGTTGCATGTTCTTCACTTTGCTTACTTCCTCCTTTAGATAATTCAAATCTTTGTAAATGACTATTGTGCCCTTATTATTTATGTATGTATGTATTTATTTTTTCATGTATTTATGACCAGTGTCGCTCGCATCCGTCTGTTGGAAAATAAATAAAGTGTCCAGAGGAACAACACGTTGACTGTGTGTGTGTGTGTGTGTGTGTGTGTGTGTGTGTGTGTGTGTTTGCGCACGTGCGCATGCGGTCATTTTTGTATGTTTGTACATGCACACACACGTGCTCGTGTGTGTATGTTTGAGTGTGAGCGCGTGTCTGTGTCTCGATCTAGTTTGACCTTGACCTTGACCTTGACCTTGTGTTTGCGGCGCCAGCGTTCTGAGCTCAAGCAGCTGGAAGGCGAAGTGTTCCGAGATCAGTGTCCTTATCCCGGCCACCGAAAAACCAGCATCATCGTCACTAACAGGTGCGCAAGGCCGCCGCGCAACACGCCGTTTGTCCTGCCGCGCATGCGCGCGTGTGCTCACGTGCGCGTCTCGCGTAGGAGGGTGGTGTGCGTGAAGGAGATGGACTTTGTGGGCCACTTCAACAAAGACTGGGAGTGCTTGTTTGAAAACTTCTGCTCTGCCCCCAACGTCTCCGGAACGCGACTCAACATCTGCTGCAAGGTAGCGCGACACAACAACGCGCGGCGTCACGCTCGCGGGAAACGGCACCTTGTGAGTTTTTGCGGGGCGGGGGGGGTTCTGGGGTTCTTTTCCTTTTTAAGCCCCGATGTGATTTTGAGCTCATTTTGTGCAGCCAACGTGACGGAAATCTGTCCAAGCCCACATATTGACGTGTGCGGGGGGGGGGGGCGTTATTCTGACTGAGGAACATAAAAAAAAAAAAAAAAATGTCCTTCCCGCTAGCTGGTTTGGTTGAAGTATTTCCCAAAGCAAGACCGTCTCGACGAGCGCCATCGTTGCAAATGAACATGCGGCATCACACGAAAGAAGCACTCTTGGGTGCCGAACTCGCTCATTGTTGTTTTGTTTTGTTTGTCGAGCGAGCTCGCACGCTCACTTAACTCATTCGCTCCCAAAGACGTCTTCCAACGTCTTTTCCGACTCGGCCGGTCCCGAATGAGTGTTACGGTAAGTGGCGCGAAATAACAAGTCAGCGCCGTGCGCCGCAAACGCAGCCGTGACGTCGTCGCGTGAGATCGACGTCAGCGCGTGTGACATCATCACGTGTCTCTACAGGAGCATCACAAGTTGAAGCTTCCCAAGAAAGATCCTCAGCCGTCCACTCGCAGCATCGACTTGAACGACGCAAACACGGCTCAGGTACTTCCCCGCGTGTGGCCGCGTCCATACGTGCGCGTGTGCGCGCGCCGCCCGCTCGCACTTCTGATGCGTGTGTCCCTCCCCTGTCGTTATGTCGCCGCGGCGACCCTCAGAGGATGCTGGCCTCCATCTTGGACGCTCAAGCGGATCACCGGCAACGTCGCATGAGCAGGCAAAAATCGCGGCGCTTCCTCAAAGCGACTACTGGCGAGCCGTGATGTCACATCCTGTCCCGTGACATCACTTCCTGTGTATGACACGGACGCCGACTGTCACGCGACTTCGCGGGAGAGCGGTGAAGTCCCGTTTCGGTTTGGACCGCAGGCATGACGAAAGTCACCGCTTGTTTTTTTTTTTTTTTTCTCCCCATCACGGATGCAAGAAGATTTTTCTCCAGAGGGGGGCTGGGGGGGCTTTTTGAATGAATTTGCAATTGCTTTTAGTATTTAGCTTCAAACTTGCAAGTGTCTCATAACCAGCAGACACGAGGACGAGGATATCAGAAATATCCTCGGCTCACTAAAAAGATGCGCACGACAGATTTCTGATTGACTCGTATTTTTCCGTCCGGCACCGAAGCACGAATTTTTGCGGATTTTGCAGGCATGTTTTGAAATCGTCGATTGTTCCGTTGGAACGCGTGCGTGCTTAGGTGACGGAAGCTTTGCAAACCTTTTTTTTTCTCCTTTCTCCATTTCTATTCGTTTTTTTGTTCATGCCACGTGTTTGTGTGTCAACGAAAGCCATAGAAGGAAGTCCGGCAAAAGTGGATCACAAGACGCCAAAAAGTTTGCTCCCTGTTGCCACGCCGCCGAATGGAGCATCGGCACGCGCACGCACGCACGCACGCAATTTGAGGCGCTCTCGTTTGATCGGTGGCAAAAGACGTCCGCGTCGACATTTTGACTTCTGTCGCTCAGCTCAGATTGTCATTGTTGGAGGCTTTTCTTCATCCCGGGCCAAAATCTCATTAAAAGAAAGATTTGATTTGCACTGAAGGACGTGTGTGCGCGTGTGTTTTACATTTACGTTTGGAATTGCAAATGTGTGTCCCGGTGGAGCCGTTTGTTGGAAACCAAAAGGTCTTTTCCGGGCCCGCCGCCCTCCATTGAACCCGATCGCGTCGAGCTCGAAACATCTGAAGCGGCGAGGAGGGGGACAGCAAATAAATTCCAAGGACGCTGATGTGCCCCGCCCCCCCAAAACGCCCCCGCTAAAGCACCGCAAAGGGTTTGCTGAAGTGTTTTTCTTTGACTTCATTTGCTGGCGCGCGGCTACGGAGCCAGTCCCGAGACGACCCGAGTTTTGTCCATTTGTGAAGAAGAAGCGCTCCAACAGCAGCAGCTGGACGCCGATGTCACGCCTCAGCCTGGCGGGGCGGCGGCGTAGCAGGGCGACATCGCCGACCGGTCCGACGTCATCAGTGGGGTATGATGTCAGAGGCGCACCTTGATGACATCTGCCAACTTTGATGGCGGGCGTGTGAAACAAGGGAAACTTTCTCGCCGTCCCCCCCTGACAAAGATTTCCGGGTGAGTTCATTTTTTTTAATACAAACAAGCCAAATGTTGCCTGGTCGCCACCGCCGGACGCGTCGCCGCCGCCGCCCCCCGTCGCGCCGCCCTCCGCCGCCGCGCCATCATCCTCCCAACATCCTCCACACATGACACAGGTAAGAATGCGCACCTCGCCTCCGGCAAATGCTCACCGCAAACGGGCCGAGGTCCGGACTCGAACTTGCCCGGACACTCTCGTCAATGATCTGCCGCGGTACGCAAGTGGACTTTCTGTTCTGAGTACCGTGAACATTTGGACTCTCCGGTTCAGGTTCCGTCTTGGAAATGCGGGTCTCTTTCGGTGAGCTCGGTCGGCAATGTCATGCGGGCGCAAGAATCTCCAGGTTTCGTCTGATTTCTTCTGCCGCGGGTGTTAGGACTCGTCCTCTCAGATGCCCTTTCTGCGCTCGGTCGTATTTTAAGGCTTCGAAGCCTTGGCGGCTCCCGGTCCGGGATTGGTTTTTGTCTTTTGATTTCATCGCCGCACTCCGATCTGTCCTCCCAAGTAGCTTCCGTCCTCTGGACAAGGCCTCCGGTCTCGGGTCTTTCGAGAATTTGCCACGGCGGCGCGCCCGTGTGAAATATACTCCAGGTTGGGCTCGGTTCTCCGCGACGTGGCTTAAGACCGACGGAACGGGACTCCTTCCGGGAGGAGGCGCCGCCGCGTCGGTTCGATCGCATCGTCCGGTCCGGGACTCCGCCCGCCCTCGGCTGACCTCCGCGCAGTCTGCGTGCTCTGCGTGTTCTTCAGCGTGTTCTTCCGAGGCGGACTCCCGGGATCTGGCTGAGATGGAAGGTTCCGTGGTGGAGAGCAAAACGGGCTTCTACCACATCCACAAGCTTCTGGACCGAGGAACCAGCAGCCACGTCTTCAAGTGTAAAAACCTGGCCACCGCCAAGGACGTGGCTCTCAAAGTCCACAAGAACTATGCGCTGTTTGAAAACGAGGTGGGTCTTCGCCGAAAGCTCGATTCCCCTTTTTCCGCCGCGGAAAAAGGAAATGTCGCCGCCGTCAGATCGAGATGCAGGAGATCGTGAGCGTGCTGGACCCGGACAAGAAGAGCATCGTGGAGTTCATCGAGACCTTCACCTTCAACCGACACCCGTGCCTGGTCTTCGAGCTTCTGGACACCAACTTGTTCAGCATGGTGCTGGATAAGAAATGGAAGACCTTCGCGCCCAACGACATCCGGCCCGTCGCCCAACAGGTAGACGCCAGAGGTGGGTGGGCGACTCCGATCGGACCCGGCCCGACGCTTCTTGGACTTGAGGACGACGTTCGACCAAGTACTTGACTTGGTATTCTAACGTGAGACTCGATTTGACCTGACGCGAGGAGTGGGGATTGCGCTTTTTTTTTTTTCCCGACACCGAAACAGTAACTCGGGATTTCGTGAAGCGGAGGACTTTCTGACTCACCGCCGGCACGTTGATCATTGGCGACCGGCGAGTGCTTTTGGAACATTTACGGACACGCGCGCGCGCGCAGAGCGACTTCCGGGCCGAAAAGCGTCGCCAGGCTCGGTTCGCCGTTTTTCCGATCGGGCGGATGGCCGATGGCCGCCGACGCTTTTGAAAGCGACTCGCGGGCGCGGGCGGCCGCGCTCTTGGACCGAGGACGCGTGACTTCCTCCCGCCCCTTCACGTTGCCGCCGTCCGAGGAGGCGCACGCCAGTCCAACCGTCTGATCTATGTTTAGCTTCTGACAGCTTTTGATGCCCTCAAGAGTATCGGGGTGATCCACACGGACCTCAAGTCGGACAACATCATGCTGGTCAACCACAGCGCCGCGCCCTTCAGGGTCAAGCTGATCGACTTCGGGCTGTCCATCTGCACCGTGGACGCGCCCCTCAGCTACGGCGTGGCCCTGCAGCCCATGGGCAACAGGTCTGTTGAGCGCCGGGCCCTCCCCCGTCCGTCTCGCCCGTCGAGTTGCTCCGTTCCGCCGCCGCTGATGCGACCCTCCCCCAACAGGGCGCCGGAAGTGGCCCTCGGTCTTCCCTTCTCCGAGGCCATCGACATGTGGTCCCTGGGCTGCGTCCTGTCCTTTTTGTACCTGGGAAATTACCTCTTTTTGGCAAACTCCAACTACAACATGGTACGCCGGCGGCGGCGGAGGCGGCCCTCCGGCCCATTTTGCACCGATGTGACTTTGGTGTGCTTCCAGCTGCGGAGCATGATCGAGGTGGTGGGTCGCATCCCCGATCATCTGCTGACCGCCAGCAAAAACACTCACAAGTACTTCAAGAGGAGCGACCGAGACAACGACGGCGATCATCCCAAATGGCGGCTCATGGTAAGCCGCCGTTTTCCACCTTTGAAACGCGCTCCGATCGCCAATCTTCTCATTGGTTGATTTTTTTT